AGAGCCGAGGAAGCGCCTGGGCTCCATGATCTCCTCCGAACAAGGCTCCGAAAACCGTAACTCTGATATCAGCTTTGAGTCTTCAAGTGCCAGCGATCAGTACATGTCAGGCGGTAGCACCTCCCCTCAGGAGAACGATGATGAGTAAGCCCCTATATTAATACACTAATTAGAACTACATGTAATTATGTATATACATGTACATGCACACGTATAATATTGTTGTATGTGATATGTTGTATTTGTCTCTCCTTAGATACATTGCAATGCAATCTGCTGTTGATCCCGAATACTTACAAATGCAAGCACCTTCCGAGCCTACCTACATCTCACCAGCTGACCCGCCAACATGTAAGAGCTGGGCTTTAAATAGAATATAGCCTGGGCTTTAAATAGAGTAGTAAAACTACTAATATAGCTTGCACGTACGGGCTTTATATAGAGTATAGTGAGGCTGGGAGTTTACGAACGTATGAAAGCAGTTTCACTTTGATGTGTTTGTCCGTCTTGATTTTTAATTTCGTTCTTATGTTGTTATTGTTTATTTTTTACGATTTGTTTTTGTACAGTCGGACAGCAGCAATCTTACTCTGACATTACCATTGAAGAGCTAACGGACCCTAATGGGAGATTCATCAAGAGAAGTGTTGATGTGAGTATAACTTCAAAGCAACTTATTATTATTATTATTATTATTTTTGTTGTTGTTGTTGTTATAACCATGCAACAGAAAAATGAAAGCCTACCCTAAGAATTATTATTATTATTGTTATTATTATTATAACTGCTTTTAATAATACACTCTTCGATGACTTAAGAATAAATAAAATTAGAGATAATCCCAGGTAATGTAATGGCCACCCACAAGCTTACAAGTTTGGTCGCTATTATTATATTATTACTGTTATTAATTAAATATAGCTACACAAAGTGTACTGTAGTGCAATGCCAAAAATAGTATTTGCATGAAATAGCCACCCACCTGCTTGACAGGAACAGGATGAGAAGTATATTACTATTTATAGTCAACTTAATGTAATCATTTAGTCATGTGCAGTGCACCTGGAGTTGTATAGAGACTTAAAATATCATTATTATATATTTTTTCATTTTTATTTATTTTTGATTATTTTTTAAGTTTGTAATAATTATAATAATTATTATTATAAACTTAGAAGTAGAAAAAAGAAATATTGTGTTAAAAAATAAGTCAATAGTTATTATTATTTATTTATTTAATTTTTTATTTTTATTTCAGATTGTGAGCGATCCCGTGGGATATGGTTTTGTAATCAGAGGCTCAAGACCAGTTTATGTACACACAGTCGATCCTAGTGGACCAGCTGCCAGTATAGGACTACAGGTAGGAGAGAATAAAGAGAGAGAGAGAGAGGGTGACGGAGTTTTTAAAGTGGGAGGGAGGGCAAAGGGCAGGCAAGAAATAAGCCACTGAATCAAGAAAATAGAGAATATCACATTGTGATTATATGCTAGGTTTTGTACAGGATTTCAGCATAGTGCTCATACAGGTTTGAGTTACTCAAAAATCAGGCCAAAGTCCCTGTACTATTATAGTACAGGGTCACAGGCCAAATTTTGCCAAAATTGAAAAGGAGAAAATTGTCGATTTTTGTAATTTTTCCTAGTACACATGCATGTTCTTATGTTGTGTAGAAACTAGAAAGTTTGAGCTCATTCCAATCAAAGCTGGATATTTTATGAAGTTGCTACAAATGCAATGTAACCTGCTTGTACTCATGAAGCATGCTATTTAGAATATAAATCTATTGACTAGGACTAGCTATTATATTTTTGTCTCCTCTCTCTCTCTCCCTCTCTCTCTCTTTCTCTCTCTCTCTCTCTCCCTCCCTCTCTCTCTCTCCCCTCTCCCTCCTC